AAAAAATACCTATTTTTACCTTGCATTTAAATACTTTTTGAGAAAAGCATTATGTATTTTATTTAAAATACTTTTCCAAACATATTTTCTATTTGTAAAATGCAAAATACATTTTCGCCGTTTAAAGTTTTGCTAGTATCACACCGATCAAACATTATTTAAAATGATGAATGAAAGTTGCTCACATTGGCCTTTGAAGATATTAGAAGCTTAAAAAGGGAACAAAGAGACATTCCATGAATGGCTTTAACTCCTTAGAAATTGATAATCTAAAATATTGGATCGATATTGTTTTCCGAGTTCAATGTCATGATCCCTGGAATTTTGAAGTTCCAAATTGATATCAGCACCTGACAAATCACTACTTATCGTACCTTTAACAAGGAACTACGAAATATTATGAAATACGATAAAACAGCCCTCAAAATAATATCGAATTGATATACGCCAGTTGTGTAAAACTGAAAACTACAAGATATTGTGGAATGCTAATAAATACCTACAATCCAAAATTCTTAGAAAACTTCACTTATTAGATGAACCCAAACCTAAAGAAACTATGGATTCCATTTCTTTCTTTTATTACAATGTGTAAAAGATTGAAAACAAAATGGGTTTGTAAATATTTTGATATAAAATGATTGATGGTGGTTTTACATCAATAAAATTATTTGCAACCCTACTTTGGCTCACGGTAAACAAAATATTTTGGCATCAGTGTCTTTTTTCCAATTAAAACGGGTGACAAAGGCAAATAAGGAAGCATATAGAAGAATTGTTTGTTGTTGAACTGAAGAAACTATAACATAAAGATAAAAAACTATATCTTAATCACTTCAAACAAAAAATGTTAGTCATACTCAATCTTTGTAGCTGGTGATACAGTGCAAACACCACCGTTAGTCTAGAAAAATTCCAATAAGGTTTTCTTAAAAAATATTTTATACTTAAGTAAATGTAGAAAATCAAATAGGTACTACAAAAAAGTATTTATTTGAAAAAAGTATTTTGAAAATAGGTATTTTACATTTAGCATATAAAATACAAAAGGGAAATCTATTTTGTATTTTACATTTGAAATAACAAATCAAAAAAGTATTTGCATTTTGTATTTAAATGCTTTTAAAAGACCATTTTGCATATCTCTACAGACACGTCTCATGTCTTAAGTCGAACTGCTTTGTAATTTGAGCGCATCGACTTCTATCCTCTGTAGTCGAACTTTATGAATAAAAAGAGCCGAAAGTGGCTTGATTATATAAAACTTGATTTACCTGCTAATCCGGTATATAAATTTCATGAGAGCCCACATTTTCGGGAATACCTAAAGACTGTAGGTGTCTCTCCTAACACAGCCCTCCTATTAAGTAAAAAAATTAACGAATATTAATACCGCTTTTGGAATATTTTTATGTACGCCTGCTTCTAACTGCATTGCGAAGAGACAATTTTCCGTACACCGAAGATTAAAAAACCATCCCAAATGCGACTAAATTCGTTAGTTTCTGCATCAATTATGCCATAACTATATTATTTTACAAGGTAAGGATGTGAAGAAATGCTGCTGATGATAGAGGTAGTCACACTTAATTAGACCGGGGCAGCAGTAAACCTAAATACGCTAGCGTGTAATGTATAATTTCAGTAAAATTAAAAAGAGAAAATAAAATTCGAATGATTTTATGATTTTCAGCTAATATTACGTACCACTGTAGAAAAATGTAATTGAAGATGTTATAAAATTATATGTGTCGAAATTAAGGACAAGTTTGCTGTACTTATACAAAAAAAGAAGGTAACCTATTTGAAAGTAAGGAATTTTAACAAAGTTTTATTATTAGATGTTTTGATCCATAAATATTTGCTATGAGGTATTCAACTAATTGTAAGAAAAAGTAGCGTTCATAATTAGCTTACAAACCGCAAAATTTCTCTTTTCTTTGTATCAGAGCAGTAACCCAATACATAAAAGCTTCCATTCTGCTTTTTATACTTTCCAAAGATCATATATAACACTCCAACTGTTGAAATCAACATTCATTGCTANTGAATTATTTATTATTAAATATTTATTTCAGTGCTCACAAAATGAACAGAGTAGACGTGAAAAATTCGATGTGTGTGTTTAATTAACATAAAAGAAAAGGAAGTATTTGCTTAATTCTAAGGTTATTGCCGAAGGCGAAAAGAAATCCATAATTCTGCATAAAAATTTAATGGTGTTAAACTACACCTTCCAATGTTTGCTGCTTGATATTTCTAAATTCTACATATTTTTTTTTGGGGGGCCCAAGGATGTTTTCAGTGAACACCAGATTGAAGTATGAAAATAAATTGTGAATTTATAAACATCTACAGCAATAGATATACCTCCAAGTGATTCAAAAACAACACAATCATTAAATTTTCTATTCTTGACTTTAATCAAGATTTTTGACTTTTATATTCACAATCATCAAAATTTCTATTCAACCCTCCAATTTTGACCCCCCTATTTAAAGATTTCGACAATTGATTTTATATATGTAGTAATTTAATTTCTAATAATGATATAATTTTTAAGTAATCGTAACGATTTCAGCTAATTAATGATTATTTTACGACCTTACTTAGTCGTTCTATTCGTACTCAGTAGGTAGGTACTTAAATATATTTTATTAGTAATGAATTCATAACGGCTATATAAACTGTAACTATCAATTAAAAGTGTTATTACAATCATCGCAAAAATGTTTACCCTTTACCAGTTCATATCGTCCTAATCCTAATTAATATTCAGAATGCAAATATTTGTTTCTTTGTTTGTTTATTACTATATCATGCCATAACTATTCAGCCGATCATTATGAAATTTTGTACACACATTGTCAGGGTTATATTAAAAGACATAGGGTATCAATGATTTGAAAAATAAATAATGTTCCTAAGGGGTACAAAAATTAGTTTTATGTGATCATCGACGATCATTGACAAGTATTTAGAACATCAACGGGATCGAAGGCAAGGGTAAAACCTAGTATTTATACCTCGTTTAGTTTCTGTAGTTTGACCGGCGCAAACTAGAAAAGAACAGCATTAAACCAGAAAAGAAAGAAGACAACTCTTAACCGGTGAGGAGCGTATAACCCGTACAGTACTGCACGGAAAAATTGACCATTTTATCCACTACAATTGCATTGCTCGAATGTACTGTTATTGGTACCAATTACTATTGAAAATATCAACGAGATGTTTATTTATATTTGAACACATATTAAAGACTTTAACGCTTGTTTCGACTCGCACTACTATTCATGATTGAACAAAACTTTTGGCAGATACTGTATGAAAAAGTATGTTTAATGAACAACAGTCGAGAGTATAATGAGCTTTTTTCTCCCTACCTACGATTTTGCCAACGCGCATCCAAGACATTGGAAGGGGCACATCGCTAGAGAAAGTAAATGAAGTATAATATTAGGATCAATTGTCGTAATGTTAGCCTCAAAATTGTGATATTTTCGAAAATATTATTTATCAATATTGCACACGTTTCATGTTCGGCTCAGGTTGTAGAACTTTTGAGAATTGTCGTACACATAAATCAGATTTTAAAAATAATTGGAAATATTAAAAAAGCTGTTCTGTAGGTGCTCTTGGAAATTAATAAAAACTAACGCGAACACCTTTCTGTGAACGACGTTTACAACCTGGGACAACGCAAAGCAATCTGCATTTTGATTTTATCCATGGCGGACGTTTATCTACTTCTACTATTAAATTTTTTAAAAGATAAAGTTAAAGATTTTTATTAAAAAATGCATTCTTAAAATTATTTTTGGTTGATTGCTGAAGCCTAGTCAATTTATTTTTCTTGCTTGCACTGTTTTTGTAACAATGAAAGAAAATTTCCGATAAATTGAATTCTATATGTTTGTTCTGCAGAACATGATGTTAAAGCGGGTTCGTGGAATCCTGTTATGAAAATAATAACACACAGGACAAAATTTAAAAGTTTTTGATTACATACGTGCCCATGAACCGTATTTCTTAACCAACGACTGCAGTTCTTGGGGCAAGAAATACGGTGCCAGTATTGAATGTGAAAGTTGCAAGAAACTCCACAGTGTGTCAGACAAATAAAAGAAAATTGCTACTAGTCCGATAATCGCCAATATTATAACATAGAAATTGCAACAGAACATGCTGAACCTGCAACAAAGAGAAAAACAAAAATGGATTAAACAATTCATTATTAAGGAAATAATTAATTTATATTTAATTGCAATATGTATCAGTGGTCGTACAAACTCAATCGCAACCTCAAAGGACCGGTCCTGGCTGAGTAAAACAATATGTAAAAATAAGTGAACCGATAAAATTCTTATCTAAGAAATCAAGCAAATACCTTAATAAGCCAACAATAATTTTTATAAATAGATTAATAAATTAATAATGTTGAAAGCAGTTTTTGACTTCAAACAATTTGGCAGTTTCTGTCTTAACCGCTCGTTGAAGTCTCCGGTTAAAAAATTCAATAAACCGTTAAAATTTTTAGCTAAGGAATTAAGCAAATACATTAATGAACCAGCAATAACGTTTATAAATAGATTAATGAGTTAATAATGTTGAAAGCAGTTTTGGATTTCAAACAATTTGGCACTTTCTGTCTTAAATGCTGATTGAAGTCTCAAAGAAAATTCAGTAAACCGTTACAATTTTTAGCTAAGGAATTAGGCAAATACATTAATAAACCAAAATAATGTTTATAAATAGAGTAATAAATTAATAAAGTTGAAAACAGTTTTTGATTTCAAACAATTTGGAACCTTCTGTCTTAACCGCTCGTTGAAGTCTCCGGTTAAAATATTCAATAAACCGTTAAAATTTTTAGCTAGGGAATTAAGCAAATACATCAATAAAACAACAATAATGTTTATAAATAGACTAATAAATTAATAATATTGAAAGCAGTTTTTAATCTTAACCACTCATTGAAGCCTCCGGTTAAAAAATTCAATAAACCGTTAAAATTTTTAACTAAGGAATTAAGAAAATACATTAATAAACTAGCAATAATGTTTATAAATAGATTAATGAGTTACTAATGTTGAAAGCAGTTTGTGATTTCAAACAATTTGGGCGTTTCTGTCTTAACCGCTCATTGAAGTCTCCGATTAAAAAATTCAATAAACTGATACAATTTTTAGCTAGGGAATTATGCAAATACATTAATAACCCAGCAAAAATGCTCATAAATAGATTAATGAGTTGAAAAAGTTGAAAGCAGTCTTTGATTTCACACAATTTGGGAGTTTCTGTCTTAACCGGTTAAAATATTCAATAAACCCTTAAAATTTTTATCTACAGAGGAAGAGAGAATAAACAAAATACCTAATATTTATAACAATATGTGTTGAATGTACAAATATTTCAGTGGAAAGATCATAAAACTTCAGAGATCCAATTTCAGGCTGTACATGTATGTGTATGGAATTTTATAATATATCTGCTGAAATACAGACATTTTACTTTGTATATTCCACATATATTGTTATAAACATTAGGTATTTTGTTTATTCTCACTTTTTCTAAAGTTTAGATAAGAACTTCATCGTTTTACTGAATTTTTAATCGGAGACTTCAATGAGCGGTTAAGACAGAAACTCGGAAATTGTACGAAATCAAAAACAGCTATCAACATTATTAACTTCTTAATTAATTTACAAACATTCCTATTAGTTTATTATTGTATTTGCTTAATTTCTTACTCTAGTTAAGAAAAGATCCTGATGGCAAGAAAATTATATATATATAATACCTATATTTACACGTATTTGTAAATAAAGTGAATCAACTATTAATTGATTTTAATTAATTTTTGATTTCAATAGTAATCGTGTAAGCAACGCATATATATATATATATATATGAACAAAACTTTTGGCAGA